AGGCCGGGGCGAGGGCCCCGCGGGCGGTTTCCAGGCCTCTCGCGGGTGAGAAGAGCCTGGCGCCCGTCCCACGTGCAGCGCGTCGATGCCAGGCGGGCGCAAGCAGCTGCCGCGGCCCCGGAGAGGCGAGGGGGCCCCGGGGTCGGTGCAGGGCTGCAGCAGCGCCTGCCACGCGGGCTCTGGAAAAGATGGTGGAGCGGGAGGCAAGCAGGATGAACCAGGGTCCCGTGAGGCACCCGGTCGAGGGCCCCGAGCGCAGAGGCAACCGCCGCACGGGAGAGGAGGTGCACGCAGCCGTAAATGGCGGGGAGTGAAAAGAGCCTGCTCCTGGCACAGGACGGATACGCCAACGAGGCAGCAGCGTCGCTGGAGTTGGGTCCTTCCGCGTCGGCACACCCCGAGTGCCCTTCCCAGGGTTCACACAGGCAGCCAGGGTTCCTTGGGTATCTTGTATTCGAGTGGGTCTAATAACAGACATCGGATTTGCCCAAAGAGCCTTGGCCGGCCAGGGCAAAAGCTGGAAAGCTGGAGACGCGGCAGTGCTTTTCCGACAAGCCCCAATACCAGAGACCACGGCCAGAAGGGTGAAGGCCTGCACGGGCTTGAATTTCTTGGGCCAGCTTTCAAGGTGACCCACAGAGGGGAAAATGGCCTTTGCGTCTTCACCTGCTGCTGTATTGTGTCTCCGGGAGGTAGCAGGTTTTCAACGAATGTTTTCTAACATGAATTCAGGTCTGGAGCAATGATTCTCAACCAGGGCGCTGCCAGGTCTTCTGAAGGGGGCCCTAAGAGGCGAGGAGAGGAGCCTGGACAATCCCCGATCCCTCTTGCCAGGCCTCTGCAAGGAAGTGCGCACCGTCATGTAGAAATTAGTTCTTGAACTTGGGTGCCGCGCAATTCACAAAAGACATGGAGAGGTGCCTCAAGTCCAGCAAGGCTGGGAACGTCTGGCCTAGAGAGACTCTGCGGGCAGGAGTCGTAAGCGGTGCCAGCCTGGTGCCAGGTGTGGGGAGAGGGGGGGTGATTGCAGAACTAGAGGAATTCTATCAAAAGGGGGAAATATGACAGTCGCATAATAGGAGGATAGATTTTTTTCCCCCATCAGACCCATTAAAGTAGTTCTTATATGTATGCAACTTAGGTGACTTCTGCCATACTTGGGAGAAAGGACGTCTTTGATGAATGGGAAGTCAGAGAGTAATTAGTATCTTCAGGGCAGGCAAGCCTCATGGGTGTGTCTTTGGACATCCAGGAAGGCTCCAGCAAAGGCCCATCTGTCTACATGTTCCCGGGATTCCTCAGGGGCAAAATCCCTCTTCGAAATAAACCTTTTTAAGCCTCGAATGCAGCGCTTGAGAGGCTGAAACAGGGCACCACCCGGGTTTGTGGAAGGATGTAACCCACGAAGCTGAGTGCAGAGGGAACTGCTCTGTCCCCTTCCGCTTCAGCAGGACATGCAGAGAGGGTCGAAGAGGATTTCCGTTCTGCGTGTCTTTTCGGAGTCGCTTTGCATCAGACATAGCTGGTCTTACTCACTGAATCCTTCAGGCAGAGGGACGATGGCGGAGGCTGGGTCGGGCGCAGCCAGAGATGAGCGTGATATCTCAGCAGCTGAGCGTTCATGTTGGGGGGGAGGCTTTTATTTTTTATCTTCCTTTTAGTCTGTTTAAAATGTCTTCATTTTCTCCTTTTCCTTTAATAGCACCTTTTTACCTTAAATGACCAATAGAGGCTTGGGGGAGCCTCCAACTGCTCCTGCTGTTTCATTTGAAGACTAGGGGAGCTCCGTCTCTGCCTCGGGTCCTCCACCATCCATCAAAGGCAGTTATTGTTTCTGATACTGCCTGTTTTTGAACCTTAAAAATAAATCTTGGTTCTTTTTTCTCTCTCTTTTTTTTGTATTCTGTAAAGAAGCAAAAAGGCACAAACCTGTTGTGTCCATCCCCCCACTTTTTTTTTTTTTTTTTTTTTTTT